TTTGTGGTCAGCAATGTAAAAAGGTAATTATTTTCACACCCGTCCTTCTGTATAGTTTTTCACAGACAGCAATTTTATAAGGCATAATTATCTATTTTCACCTGCTTCATAAATTCCTCCTTTCCATTTCGTCCCCCAGTAAACTAGAAATTATTTAAAACAGAAGCCAAGCCCTGCATCGTGGTGCTGGGTTTCACATTGCTGTGCACCTCTGAGTGCATTCCTGGCTGCCCCTCTGCCCAGCTGACCCCACCATGTCTCCCTTGCCATCTGGTCCTCCTGTGGAAGGACGTGTGTCTCAGTGTGAGGAGCTGCTAGGCCTCTGCTGCCTGGGAACGGAAAGCCAGTATTGTGAGCCATTGCTCTTGCCCAGCTTCTTGGCACCTCTCATCCAGGAGGAGCGAGCTCGCCAGCTTCTCAAAAGCTCTTCCTGTGCCTCCTTCCTTCTCCCACCGCACACCAGGTCACAGGGTAGGGCAGTCACCTTCTCATTTGTTTTCAGCAGGATCTTTAGGCCAAGATGACTGTGTGGTTTGGGACCATACCATGGATTCTGCTGTGATGCTCAGTGATGGCGTCAAGCCTGGGCTCCCCCTACAACATCACTTTTATTTTCAGATATCCAACATCCTCTCATGCTGGAAGCTTCAATATCTGCTGCAATCTTCACACTTTCCAGGGATGTAACCAAAGCAAGTTCTAACATCAATTGAGAGTTTACTATGAACCAGGCACTGTGCCAAGGACTCTACAATACTATTTGGCTGAATCCTCATAATAACTCAGAAAAGCATACATTATTATGAAGTTGTGAGAATAAAATGACAGAATGTAAGAAAGCTAAGAATTTAGACCAAAGTCACAGAGAAGGCAAGAGACAGAATCAAGCTTCAAACTTTTGTCTCTGAAGTGCCAAAGCCCATCTTCTACCCACTACATGAAATCAAAGATTCTATGAGCTGTCCCAGAACCCACTCAAGACTGAGGCAGTTTGGGGATGCCAGAACTCAACAGGGAAACTGAGGGCTTCTGGGCAGTGCCTCAGTAAGCAGTACAGGGATGAAGGCAGCAGTTTTTTCAGCGGAAGCACAGCAAGCCCAAAGCTCACAGCTGGTTCCTCAGTCCATAACCTTAGCAACCCCTCCCTGCTGGTGGGGCTGCTCCATCCCCTTGTCCCCTTCCATTGTCTTTTCATATGACCCCTCCCCTTACTGTCAGTAGCCCTTCAGTAACTTCTCACTGAAGGTGAGCCCCACTGTTCAGGTAGTCTGGCTTTATTCAGGGAGTTTCATGAGCAGGGAGTGGTGGAGTCACTTGTCACCTGCCTCTAGCTATCCCCCAAGCTCCCACCTCATTCCATACATGACCTAGGTTTGAGCGAAGAGGCATCCTCTTGGATATGAGCAAGTACTGGGAAGATCCAGAGCTGCAGGCCTGGGTAGAGGTGAAGGGAGGAGAGAGAAGAAGGAAGAAGGGAGCTAGTCATCCAGAGACCAGCAGCAGTGATGTGACTGCAGACTCAAAACACAGAGCTCTCTAAGCCACCCTTCTCTGACGTCATCTGGAGCCCACACCAGCCCCTTTGACACTGTCTTGAGGTGCACCTGCATCTCTGCGTAGTCCACTGACAAAATTCAAGGACAAGGCTGGACACACAGAGGCATCTCAGAGGTCAAGGGGCGGGGTGTCCCTGGGTCTCCCAGTAGATTAAAAAGAAAACAAACAAATGCCTAAACAGGGCTCCAAAGGTACCATGCATTCCAAATGGTTACATGAAATAAATTTAATACTTGTAGCACTACAAAAATACAATGACTATATGTGTGCCAGCCCGAAGGGATCAACAGGATTCATTAAAAATATTAATTCTTAGTGCACTATAGGCTTTATGGCCTTGTCAAATGACACATTTTAAAGTTCTAAAACTCTTTATAAACTTTCCAATACTGCCAGTGAATGCGTGTGACTGCTGATATAATCCATTTAAAGTCAACAGCTGCACACTAAACCTGAGGCCCCTCCAGACTTCCAGACCTGGGCTCTTGATCTCTCCTGACACTTCCTCCCTCCCTCATGTCCACAGCACCTGAACACTATAGATGTCCACTGCCCTGTACATTTCAGGAAGACAAAGCTCTCCTTCTTTACCTGGGTACCCATAGTGCCCAGTCAGGTTGTGTTTGTCTCTCGATGGAATGGACGAAGAGTGAATGTGCAAAGTGAACCAGCACCTGTGCCTTCTTCACCCCAACCAGTGTATCTCAGGCTGGGTTGGGCCCTTGCACTCCTGCCCTGCTCAACCCGCTGAACCAGCAGGAGCCCCAAGGCCACAGTACAGGGCTGTGCCTTGCCTCAACAACTCCAGATATGTTCCTTGTATCTGAAAAATTATTTACTGTGGTGATGTACAATGCCTTTATAAGAGAACAGATGGTACCTCCAATTACAATGCCTTAAAAGGAAACCCTAATGAGATTATAAAAGCCAACAAATTGACTTTTTCATACAGTACTTTCCTGGCACACAATAAATCAAATATCTAATGAGTTTCAATAAAATAATAGATTTATTTATACGTGTTTTGCCTAGCATGGCGTTGCACCTCAGCCCTGCCCTATGGGTCCCTTCAATGAGTGCTTGTCCCTGCATACCAAGGCAGAGAGCTGGACAGTGCATCTATGAGCTTCTCTCAGGCCTGGCCACCACAGCCACATGTGGCTTTGATTCAGCGATTTCTGGTCTGACCCAAGCATGCTAAAGCCTGCTATATCTGGAGAGTAGAGGCATGCAAAGGGTGTGGTGGCTGTAGTCACACATATAGGCATGTCTAATAATCACCTCCATTCTGGGTAAGATGGGGACACTGTGGTGGGACTATAGGGGGTATATGTAACCCCAGAGCTAACTGGACCAGAGACAGGAGGAAGATGCCTATACAGTATCATTTATTAATAATTATTATTATTAAATTATTATCATTAGTTTAGAGATGGGAGTCTTGTTATGTCACCCACACTGGAATTGAACTCCTAAGCTAAAGTGATCATCCTTCTTCAGCCTCCCAAGTAGCAGGGACTACTGGTGCATGCCACCATGCCTGGTTCAGGTCTGATTTTAAGGAGGGTAGACTCAGGATATGAGTAGGTCCAGTGGAGTGAGGATCTAGAAAGTACATACTGGAGGCTTTGGGCAATTTCTGCTTCCCACCCCCCAGTCCCAGCCCAGGTATTAACCAGGCATTAGTCCTCCTGGTTCAAGTACATCAGATCAGATGGCTGGAAAATAGGCCTTGAGAGAGAGAAGAGAGAGATGCTATAGCAAGGAGGGCAGCAGCACATCAACATTCTGAGCATTTAGTCATTGGTCTACCTTTCCTCTAGGTGACCATACCCAGGGACTGGATGAATTTACAGGGTGTGTCTGCTGAAGTGGGAAGCTTGGACGCCGAGCCTTCAATTTGCATGGTTGATCTGTAGAAGGAGGCCGGCTAGTGAGAGGGGTTAATGAGAAAGAATGGAAAGGAGTGTTTTCAGGAGGAATAGTGTGAGACCCTGGGCATATACTTTGGCAATCATGGAGACTAGTCTTTGGTCTGAACATCCAGGGAGCAGTGATTCAGCATCCTTAAGTGGTTTCTAAAGAAGTACATTAAACAATGCTGTTTGGGCTCATGGAAGACCCCCAGGGCAACCTCAGAAGTCAGTGGAGGAGACAGCACGACAGAAAAACAAGACCTCTTGTCAGCAGATACAATAATTTTTGTTAATATTAACTCACCAGAGAGAGAGGTCTGTAGAAAATCAGTTCAAATCTATACACATTGATTGAACTCAGGAACTTGATCTAGAAGATACTTTTATTCGCCCTCTTTACTCAGTAAAGGTTACATACACTACAAGGCTAGAATTAAGAAGTTCTTTCACTCGGAGTCCAGTCACTTTTTCTGTTCATCAAACAGAAAGTATATATGAAACATTCTTCTGTGCTGGGGATGGATGGAAGGGATTTGGTCCAAGGAGGTGTAAGGAAAGGTCCCTGCTCACAGGGAGGCAGGCAACATTATCCAATGCAGAAGAAAATTCTAACATATTAGAGGCTAACCTGGAGCACTGACTCCCAAATACAATGGGAATACTGAAAAGAGAGGTCATCCCCATTTCAGGGCTAAAATGCTCAGAGGAGTAGGAGCAAATTATCCAAAGTACTGTGCAGGGACAGTAGTGATTGTCTCCTCCCACAATTATGGGGGAGAATATTGGGAGAAATGTACCCCTTCTCACATCCCTATCCAGAAAGTGTAGCTACCTTTCTCCATTTTTGGCAGGGAGACTGTTCTTCCCTCTGTATTATATAATGGGACAGTGATGTAGCCAATGCATTAGCTCCAGTCCATAGAATTTCTGCCTTGGAGATGCACTCTGTGGTCAGGCCACTGGTCTTGTCATTTGACAGGAGCACAAGTGCTACATCAGGCTGGGCATTGGAAGGCACACAAGATGAATATATGGTCCTGACACACTATAGTCTTCATTTGATAACTGAGATAAGTACAGAATAACTGAACAATTAATAAAATGATGAGCACTCTGAGGGGAGTCTGGTTACAAATATACAGGAAACCCAGCAAAGAGGTAGGAGATTCTCAGCTACAGGTACCAAGAGGGACTTCTTGGAGGAGGTGATAATAGATTATGATTTTGCATCCAAAGAACTCTCCAGTCTGGCATCTGATGAACAGAAATTATCTTTCTGGGGTGGGAGGAAGGACCTGTTATATGGGAGGAAGGGGGAAGGAAAAAACCGTAATCTTCACCCAGTGATACGTAGGGACAAGGCCCCTGAACTCCGAGCACAGGAGATGTATGTTTCAGCACCACGGCCAGCAATTCTGCTTTGCTCTGGGATCAAAGGATGATGTCTTCTCTTCCCTGCCCCAGACCCACCACTTGCACCATCAGGGAACCAAACTCTCCAGCCCAAAGCCATTACTAGACACTTACTAGTGCATGCCACTTCTGGAGGGTCAAAGTCCGCTCGGTAATAACCAGTCCGACAGGTGCAGATGGGAGACGCCTCTGCAGGGGAGCGGCTGTTGGAGGGGCAGTGGGAGCAGCCCTCAGCTTCCTGGCTGGCCTTGAATGTCCCTGCAGGGCAGGCTAGAACACAAAGAGACCATGTGATAATTAATGGAAGTGTGGCAGCCAGAAACTCTGCCCTACAACCGGAAAAGGAGTGTCTTCCTCTTTAAAGAAAACGGGAAACTCATATTTAACACTTCCAATTCTTCAGAAATCCCTTGTGAAATATACATTCCTGGTACCAATGACCTCTCTCACTTGAACAAAATGCATAATAATTCTTCCCTTCCAGGTGTGTCAAGAGATTTAATTGAGAAAACAAATCTAATGTGTAGCTCAGTTCCTGGGACATAAGTGCTCTATAAATGGTTACTTCCTCCTCTGTCTACCTGGTTAACATCCATGGCCTTTCTCTGAGCCACTCACTAAAGACATCTCATCTTATGGCCTCAGATAGAAAGGGGTCCGAGGTTTTTCAATGACATGTTGGACCTACGGTTTTTCAATGCCATGTTGTAGCACACATGAGGAACACTATGAGATGTATTAACAAGCTCTTGTTATGAATGATGGTAAAGGGCTGAAATTCATAAGTGATTCTTTAAAACTAGAGTGATTTCAAGGTTACTGCCTTAACAACATCATTCTCCTTTAACTGCATTTTGATATGCTTTCAGGGGCGGGGCAAGGAAAGGATGACTTTGCAGACAGCGCACCAGGGAACATGTCATGCACTTGGTGTCATCTATCATGCACATGGCAGTGGGGAAGGTTGGGAACACCTGCTACAACCTGATCTCCACTGGAGGGGCGCTCACATGTACAGCACATCCTCTTAATTTCCTGTGGGATCAGCTTATAATGAGTCATTCCCTGAAAAGTCTGGCTCCAAGCTGTCCCTTGGGTCTTAACTTTGTCTCATCTGTAGAGACTTTTGAGCCCAGACATCTGGTCTCTTCCTTGCTGATCCCTCCCAAGATTGATCCTGCCTACCCTAGTTCCCCAAGGCCCTCCCTTATTATCTCAGCCCCCACTCTTCCTGTCCCCGTGAAACCTACTCTGGCTCATCCTCCTTTGAGACTGGGTAAAACTTACTAACTGGTCAACTTGTTTGGCTTTCTTACACACCTCATTACTTCATTCAACAAACATTTACTGTGTTCCTGCTGAAAACATGGCATAGGGAATTCAAGAATAGAGCCTGCCTTCAAGGAGCTCTTGATCCAATGAAGTCATATAAATCTAACACAATGTGATCGTTGTATAATGGAAGAGCCATTATAATGGTTTCTACTTATAGAAAGTTAATCTTCTCAAATGTATTGTTCCCTCCTGTAAAGTGCAGAATATTCTTTAATAACAGCAGTAGCCACCATCTGTTAACTTGTCTTGTTAAGTGCTTTACATGCATTACTCTATGCGGTAGACATTATTATCCCCATTTCGCTAATGAGGAAACTGGGACACGGAGAGGTTACAAAACTTACCAAGGATCACACAGTGGGAGAAATGATAGTGACGACATACACATAAGCTCTTTGAAAAATATGCACTGCTTTTCTGCTAAGACTAGAAGAAAGAATTGTTTTCTATGCTGTGAAAGTTATCTCACTCCATTGCTCACTTAAGGTGAGGAAAAGGTTTCAGTTTCTCCAATCGTGTGCTGGGTGGGGCCCCATTTTGGACAGGAAGGAATCTCTGAAACACAGTGTTCTGGAATGGCACGACCCAAATGTGTTCCATGGGATCCACGTTCTTTGGATTGTTAACACCTACGACAAAAGGGTACTGTGGCCAGATATTTTCAAATGCTAATTTTAAAAGTTCATCTTATTCTTTGTTGAGAATTTCTCAGAACTTTTAAAAATGCTATGTTTTTTCACCAAGAAGCCTTACTTTGCAGAGCATCCCTTGGGATCGGGGAAGACACTGGAGCGAATGTTGTTTCCCAGTTTTGGGGAAACAATGCCAGTTGTGACCCACGTAAAAAGGGACCACTTCCTGACTCATCTCAGCACATTCAGAAGAAACTTATCTGTAGAAAGAAAAAAGGTACGTCTGAGTCTTTACTACAGATCTAACAAATAAAACATGAAAGGGAGAAGCTCTGAATGGCAAAAGTATGCGAGACTTTGGCTTACTAATCCGTCTTTCCCAGCCCACTCAGTACGGTCCCTCCCTCTGTTTTTCTCCCTCTTTCCTTTTCTTCTTTCCATATCTCTCCTCATCTCCTGTGAGAAACGCTTGGCTCTTTTCCTAATAAATCCCCAGCCTTCCTGGCCCTGTTTGGTTCTGTAGCCAGTGAATACAAACGAATCCCAGGCCTGTGCTGCCTGGACTTGGCAGGAGCTCTGTCTCTGGAGAGTGGGGGAGGCGTAGTGGTGACGACTCATGCATTCATATTTGGCCCCTGCCATGCCGTAATTTTCTTAATGTACCAGTCCAAGAAGAACAAGGTGTTTCTAGCACATAAATGCCTCCTCACTTTACATTTAATAAGTTAAGAGCATAAACAATTGTCCTGATATCCACAAGTGGCAGGGGGATGTGGAAAGTGCCTCTTCTGAGGTTTCTGATGGAGGACGGTAGGCTCTGGGTGACTGAGTCTCTGAATTCCAAGGTGTACACGAGAGAAGCAAGTGGAGGGGAGGAGGTCCAAGCTGGCCATTAGGGAGAGAAGTTTGGGGAGTGGTTGAGGAGAGAGTTTCCAGGATGGGGTCTGACTCCATTCTCCCCAGAGAAACAAGCATTTGGCAATGGTCAGACAGTCCTGAGGTCAATTCTTGGCTCTGCCAGCTACTAGCTTGGTGACCACTGGCAAGTTATATCATCCCTCAGAGCCTCAATTTGCTCATCTGTATAAAAGGTCTATGAAAAAGAACTGTAACTTTCTCACAATAACTCCCACAAATCATAATACATTAATAATAAACTCAAATATGAAATGTCGCTAGCATCAATGTGTGCTGAATAATGCTAACTCCTCTCCATCCCAACTTACCCACTCCCAAAAAAAACCCAAAACAAACAAACAAACAAACAAAAAAACAAGGTTTCTTTCCAGGGACATTTAGAATTCAGGGTCAGAATACAAATTTCAAGTCCCAAAGTGGGAAAATAAATCCTGGAACCCAATGGAAGACTGTGTTTCTACATATATGATTTCTGTTATGTATAATGGGTGAATCATATCTACAAAATATATTTTACATATAATTACAAAATGTATGAATCTCCTTAATACTCAGACTTTATAACTTAGTACTTTCATAAAATCTATCTAGGCATGCCTTAATTTATAAAAGAAGCAGTATTCCTAAATTCATTTATTACAAAATTTTTTTTAACTTTAAGTTATGGGATACATGAGCAGAATGTGCAGGTTTATTACATAGCGATACATGTGCCACTGTGGCTTGCTGCACCTATCAACCCATCATCTAGGTTTTAAGCCCCACACGCATTAGCTATTTGTCCTAATGCTCTCCTTCCCCTTGCTCTCCACCCCCCAACAGGCCCCAATGTGTGATCTTCCCCTCCCTGTGTCTATGGGTTCTCATTGTTCAACTCCTACTTATGAGTGAGAACATGTGGTGTTTGGCTTTCTGTTCCTGTGTTACTTTGCTGAGAATGATGGTTTCCAGCTTCATCCATGTCCCTGCAAAGGGCATGAACTCATTCTTTTTTATGGCTGCATAGTATTCCATGGTGTATGTATATCACTTTTTCTTTATCCAGTCTATCATTGATGGGCATTTGGGTTGGTTCCAAGTCTTTGCTATTGTAAACAGTGCTACAATAAATATATGTGTGCATGTGTCTTTATCATAGAATGATTTATAATCTTTTGGGTATATGCCCAGTAATTTATTAAACTTTTAGATTGTTATGCTATACATTCTCATAGAATTCATACTTTTAACAAGGGTTAAAGTGCCAGGCTAATCCACAAAGCCTTTTTAACTTACCTTGTATGGGGTGCCATTAATCAGAAACAAAAGTTAACAATATTGTTGTTTCACTAGAAATTTACCATAGAAATATAAATAAGAAAACTATGCTGTCCCTTGAGAAAAAGTAGCTTTAACTTGGGTTGATAAATAGAGCTTCTGGGTGGATTCTAATGGAGAATATTCAGGTCAACAGAAGCAAAAGCAAATGGCCTTTGGAGCCAGGTCAGTCACTTAAGAATATAAAGCAGCCGGGAGTCACACAGTGCAGAGTGGCAGAGACTCCGGCAGCCCGGAGACTGCTCACCTGCATAAAGACTCTACGATTTCAAACAATAATAATTAAATACGGCAGTAGCCTAACCAAACCCATCTCAGCACTTTCAGGCAATCTGAGGTAAATAACAGAGTTCTCTGCTTTCATATCATTTCAAAACTCCGGAGTTCCTTTGCAGAATTATGGTCAGCACTATTGCTACAGTTGGGAGCCCCTCGTTCAACAGAAATTTAATTGACTCCTAGCCAGACACCAGACTATAGGAATAGAACAGAGCACAGATGGGGTAGCCGACATTAGGAAGCTCCTTCCTGGTGAGGGAGGTGGATGATAGAATGCTGCTTCTGATACAGCAGGATCTGCGCTATGCTTGTATGCACACAGGGGACCAGGTGGCTGGATATACACCTTTTGCAGAGTCTCCTTATAAGATGAGAGTCATAAGAAACTTTATAAGAGAAGCAGTATTCCTGAGTTCATTTATTAACCTTTTAGATTGTAACTTGTAACCACACTTGTGCTATACTTTCTCATAGAATTCGTGCTTTAAACAATGGTTAAAAGTGTCACTTCAGGCCAGGTGTGATGGCTCACGCTTGTAATCCCAATACTTTGGGAGGCCGAGGCGGGTGGATCACCTGGGATCAGAAGTTTGAGACCAGCCTGGCAAAACACTGTCTCTACTAAAAATACAAAAAAGAAAAAAAAAATTAGCTGGGCATTGTGGCATGTGCCTGTAATCCCAGCTACTCAGGATGCTGAGGCAGGAGAATCGCTTGAACCCAGAAGGCGGAGGTTGCAGTGAGCCGAGATTGCGCCACTCCACTCCAGCCTGGGTGACAGAGTGAGAC